AGCCTTAGCCCCGCCCCCGAGCCTTAGCCCCGCCCCAGCTCCGAGCTTCACCGTCAGGGAGGGGCCCGGGCGCCGAGGGCTCCTTTGAGCCACGCCCACGAGGCGGTTCTCCCGCGAAAATTCGAAAAGTGCCGTTTGACTCCACCTTGCTGCAAGTGGCGGGGAGGGCACTCAGGAGACCCAGGAAGGGGACACGGAGCGGGCAGGCGACCCCGGACCTTACCAGCGGGAGCAGCGCAGCAGCTTCTCCAGGCGGGCGAGCGCCGCGCGGCTGTGGGCCCAGGGCCCGCCGGCAGCCGGCTCCATGGCGGCCACCGGAGGAGGCTTGTTCCCCGAGTAGACCCTCGGCGGCCGGCGCGGCATTCCCTGGGCGAGGGGGAGGTCAGGTCCGCCTGAGCGCCGCACTCCGCGGGTCGCCGCGGGACCCCGCCGCCTGCGGAGTTCCAGAGCCGGGAGGACGCCGGGCGCCGGGCTGCGGAACCGCGGGAAAGTTCCCGGCGGCGGGGGGGCGTGGCTCGATCGAGACCACGCCCTCGGGGGTTGTGGGCGGGGCCGCCAATAAAAGAAGGTTCTTGTGCTCCGGGATGAGGAGGCCTGCGTAGGGGTCACGAGGTCAAGTCCTGGCGGGCGGGACTTATTGCGCTCGGACTTCCTGGGCGCGAAACCGAGGGGCGCGCCGTGATGCCCACCCGCCTTTTTATGTAAGAAGGTATTTTTTTTTTCTCCTTGCTGTAGGATATAAGAACCCGGTAAATATAAGGTTGCAGTCTAACTTATAACTAGCTGTGAATATCCGACCAAGGGCATGTCTTAGAAGTTCTGGCTTGCTTTTAAAATGTTTTTGTTTGCTAGAGTGCCTGCCTTCCTCGGGGATTTTTTTTTTTTTTTGTCTGCTTGCTTGCTTACTTTTCCTTTTGAGACAGGTTTCTCGGTGTAGCCGTGCCTGTCCTGGACTCGCTTTGTGGATCAGGCTGGCCCCGAAGTCACACAGAGATGTGCCTGCCTCTGCCTCCCCCTGGAGTGCTGAAATTACAGGCCTGTGCCACCATGCCCCGCTGAGGATTTAGTTAGTTAGTTAGTTAGTTTAGCAGCGTCTGACGTTTGCCAAGCTTGCTTAACCTGTGAAGCGAAGGGTGACCTTCAATTTCTCAGTTTCTGATCCTCCTTCACCACCTGAGTGATCCATGGGATTACAGATAGGCATCACCACGCACAGTTCGAATGGTGCTGCATTGAGCCTAAAGCCTCCTGCATGGGGGAAGCGCTCTACCAGTCACACCTCTTGCTCTCCTGGGAAGGAACACTGGGCAAGCAGAGCAGTGCCTCTCCAGAGCCTCCAACCCGTTAACACAGTCTTTTCCCTTAGTACTTCGAATTGGCTTCTGTCTCTGCTTAACTGCCCCAGCTGCCTCTGTTTTCCCCATACGGCTACAGCCTTCACACTGGAATCCACACAATCTGCCTAGGTCTCCTCCAATCCTTTGCCCTCCCTAAAGCCATCTAAAATTTTACCAAACACCAGATTAATCTTGACAAAACCCTGATTAAAGGTCAGAAGGCCTAGGAGTGGGCACACCTTTAATCCCAGCACTGTGGGGGTGGTGGGGCAGAGGCAGGTAGATCTCTGATTTCAAGGCCAGCCTGTCTACAGAGTTCCAAGATAGCCAAGGCTGCACAGAGAAACCAAAACAAAACATAGACACACACACACACACACACACAAATAAAAATAAAACTCTAAAGGTATTTCCTTGATGTGTTAAGGTGGCCTATGCTAACCTGGGAAAGCATGCCATTGTTCTCCTATGGGGCTTTTCTTCATCAAAAGCCTCTGCCTTGCTGCCTCTGGGCTTTTACACAAACTCACTTTGGAACCTGGAATTTTCCTCTTAAGTTAAGCAGGACTCCTTCAGATCTCAGCACAGACATCAGTCCTTGAAAGATTTTCCTGATCCAGAACTTAGATTCTCCCAGGTACTTTTAACCTCACAGTTCATAGCAGGTACATTTATGAGCATGTTTCCTCCAGAAGCCCCAAATCCCAAAAGGCCAGAGATCCACTCCATCTGGCCTGTTCCTTAATATAGTGCTAGCATGTACATACAGTATGAAGCTCTAAGGAGAGCTGAGGATTTGAATCCGTGGACTATGAGCCTGGTCTATTGTAAGTGCTTCACTTAATTACCTGCTTCAAGCCTCATATGTGTACTGCATCTTGAAACTGAATCCACCATGGGACTGAATCATTGTGTCTGCCCCAGGTTCATGAGTGGAAGCCAGCCCCTAATGAGATGGCATCTGGAGGCAGTGCCTTATAGAAGCCCCTAGGTTTGAGATTTGGAGGATGGAACTGCCTCATCATAGGCTTGAACGCTATCTTACAGTAAAAACAAACCAGGGCCATCCCTGTTTATCATTAAACTTCTGTTTAATAACAAATGGTTCTGTACTGGATGTTCCAGGAATCAGCAACCATGTCTTTGTTTCAAAAAGTTATAACCACCTTGCAGCCCTACCTCTGTTTCAGAAGGTTGTTAGGAGTACCTGTTGTTATGTCAACGTTATGACCACCCTGCAGCCATTTCTTTGTTTCAGGAGATCGTTATGATAAACTCATTATGCTTATGCTCTGCTCCTGTTGTCCCACCTATTTTTCCCACCAAATCAAATCCCCCATTTGGAAAACCCCTACCCCCCAAGCCTCATCTTCCTCACATCCAATGTTCACCCCTTAAACCCTGCCTTAAGGGATAGAATTCCGAATACACGAATAAAACCTAAAGGCTTGCTTTAACTACTTTGGCCATGCTGATTTGGGTCGGTGGTCTCTCTCCCATCTCTGGAATTAACAGAACCATCATAATCTTCCACTGAGGAAGAATTAGCTCACTTTCTACTCTGTGAGAGTACAGGAAGTAGGGAAGGCCCGCATCAGAACCTGGCTGCGCTGGCGTCGATCCTGGATATCTGTCTTCAAGGATGTCATAAATTCTTTGTGTTTTTGTCACCAAAACTATGATGTTCTAATAGCAGCCCAGCCAAACCCTTTATAAAAAGAAGACTTTAGGGTGTGGCTCACAAAGAGGGCCCCAGGGAAGATCTTGAATCCCACTCCTCCGAAGAGGAAATAAAATAGACCTCTGAAGTAGATGGAGGGAGGGGACTGAGTGGGAGAGGGTTTGGGGAGGGTAAGGGGGATGGGGATCAGGTGTGGGAAGAACACATGGGGTGGGGGTCACCAGGAGGGAGATCTGGAAAATAGGTGGAGGGGCATCTCTGAGACGGGAGAGGCTCCCTGGCGACCCTAGCTGAGACTCCTAGCAGTGGGGGATATGGAGCCTGAAGTCTCCGTCCCCTGTAGCCAGGTGAGACTAACCATGGAGGGAGGAGGACACCAACCCAGCCATAAAACCTTTGACCCAATTTGTCTTGCCTAAAAAAATAAAAATAAAAAAGACTGGCCCAATTTGAGACCCACCCATGGGAGAAAGCCAACTCCTAACACTATTAATGATACTCTGCTGTGCTTGCGCTCTGTCATAACTGTCCTCTGAGACACTTCATCCAGCAGCTGATGGAAACAGGTACAGAAACCCACAGCCAGACGATAGGCCTAGCTCAGGGAGTCTTGTGGAAGAGTGGGAGGAAGGATTGGAGGAAGCCCTACACAGTAAAATAACCTGGGCACATGGGGGCTCACAGAGACTGGACCACCAATCAAAGAGCCTGTGTGAGCTGGATCTAGCCCCCCTATACCTACTGCAGCAGATGTGCAGCTTGGTCATCATGCCGGTCCCCTAACAACGGGAGGCAGGGCCTGTCTCTGATTCTGTTGCCTGCCTTTGGGTCCCTTCCCCCTAGCTGGGAGGCCTTGTCAGGCATCAGTGGGAGAGGACCCACCTAGTACTGCTGTGACTTGAGGTGGCAGGATGGGTTGGTACCCCTTGAAGGCCTCCCCTTCTCTGAGAAGAAAGAGGAGAGCTGGGGGGAGGGGTGTGAGGGCAGACTGGGAGAAGGGGAAAGGGGTTGGGATCGGGCTGTAAAGTAACTAACTAAATAAATAAATAAACAATTAATCTAAAGGGATTACATAGCTTTGACAGTCTTACCTCTGTGGTCTAGAATTCCTCTGATTACAAGCTTAGAGTGTGGCTCAGAGATGTTCATTTTGATCCAGATGTTTTTATTTTCATTGCTCTTTTTTTTCCTCAATTTCGGTAGTCCTCTATAATACAAAGTCCCAACAACCTGCATGACTTAACCAACATTACTTAATCTACTCAAACATGTGAGTAGGAAAAGTAGGTGAACAAAACAAAAAAATTAATTCCAACCCCCTAATCCCACCTCCACCCACAAGTGCTGGCTAGGCAGGTACTCTACCACTGAGCCACATGCCAGCCTCTCCTGTTAGGTCTCATAAAGCATTTTGATGAGATAATAAGACAAGTAAACTAACCACATAGTTTTTCTAAAATTCAGAGGCACTCTCCGTCCAAGTTAACTCTTGGTCACACACTCTATCGAGCCATTGTTTACGCTTTGCTGAGGCTTGGGATAATCAAGTTCTAGGTCGCTTCAAATGTTAAAACTTAGAAAGCCACTGCAGCGTCCATGAAATAAACTGATAATGTTAGGACTCAGTCCCACTACAAGCTCATACAAATGTGGTTTTGCGATAGGTTTTGCTAGGTAGCCCAGGATGATTTGAACCTTTCATCCTACCCCCTCAGCTTCATGAGTGCTAGGATCACAGATTTAGGTCAAATCTGCAGTTCTCTGAACATTGATTTTATCTGGAAAATGGAGATAATACATCATATAGATTTTTGATATTATCATAAGCATAAGTATGAATTGCCTGTATCAATAAGCATCCAAGAAATGGTAGCAGTGAGGACAGCCTCATCCTTACTGAAGAAGAACAGGGAACACATTTATCAAATGCCTTTTTAATTATGACACCGCTTAACTGTGATCAGAGTAAATGAAAATTTTACCATTTGTAAAACACTTTTGGAACCAGGTGATTGCAGTTGGCCCATTTCTTCATTACTGTTGAAGCAATAGTGATGCAATGCAATGAGTTCTCTCTTAATTTCCTGTTTTCTTCCCCTCTGCCATGGTCCAGATACCTCTCTCCAGGGTTCATGTCATCTCAGCAGCTGTTAATGGCGGTGATCGTAGACCTAAAAACAATGAGCAAGATTACTCCTTTATCTCCAGTGGCCAGCTCCATCCCTTCAGGCTCACTCTGCTATCACTCAAGTTGCTGGCTCCTTACTATTACTGGAGATGGTGGGTTTTACGTTTTGAAACCGGCTATTTACCTCAGCCATAAATGCTCAATTTCAAGAGCCACTTCTTCCTCCTGCTTGCGTGTGTGTGTGTGTGTGTGTGTGTGTGTGTGTGTGTGTGTGTGTGTG